ATTTAAGAATAATTTTTTAACAAACACCCGTGTAATACACGGGTGTTGTACTAGTATATATATAAAAGTATTTATTTTTCTATATATATATATAAAAGTATTTATTTTTCTATTGTAAAATCTATCAATATAAATGTACAATAAATAATGAATAACTATTTATAATGACATACATTTTTTATCCTCAAATTATAAAAAATATTAATCATATTAATTACATTTATAAACTTATGTATTTCTATCAATAATATTATTTACAACTCTGTTAATTTGATTATTTATTCTTCCAAAATTCAATTGGGTAAATTTGAATCAATATGAGTTGTATGCTTGTTTATAAACATATTCTTAAACTAGTATAACACCCGTATATAACACGGGTGCTTGCTAATTTTTTTCTTAAAGTCTAAAATTAATGAGAAAAAAGTAGTTGAAAATTTAAATACCTTTTGCAAAAATATATATATTATTATATATTTAGTATAACATTTTTTATTTGTGCGACTTACTTGTGTTATATTATAATAATTTTTAACTTACAACATAATACTACATTGAAAATTAAATATATCATTTGAAAAATAATTTTTTTTTCCAATAAATTTTAATAAATATTATTATTTTTTATTATTATAAAGATAAATATAATTTATTTATTTCATATATACAATATGAATGTCAAATCGAAGATCATCAAAAGATGATTAATTTAATATATAATATATGTAAAACCGATAAGAAATATAAAATTATCAACGTTTAAAATACATTTACAATTCAATAGCTAATTGAAGGAAACAAATTAAAGTCGGGGATATATCAGTCACTTAGTGCCTACTATGTAAAATTACAAATAATTAAAGGGTTATATTAGTACAAGTGATATTAAAATACCTAAGTTAGATAAATAATATTTATGGAATGTCCGAACCTAAATTATTAATTATTAATATATCAATATTATTTGTCCAAACCTAATTACGAAGCATGATTCTTTGCCAAGTAGGATTCCGAAGCACCAGAAACAGCCACGTAGGCTCAGCGCATTCGGGAATTATATATAGGGAGGATAGTATATAAAATATTAAAATAATAACATAATAAATTATGTTTTATTTATCTTGTTGATTGTATATTCTTCTAGTTAATAATGTTCGACCATCGAAGATATCCTCCCTATATATAATTCCAGAATGCGCTGAGCCTACGTGGCTGCTTCTGGTGCTTCGGAATCCTATTTGGCGAAGAATCATGCTTCGTAATTAGGTTTGAATAAATAATATTGATATATTAATAATTAACTAGTACAGATCCCGTGCGATGCACGGGGTGTACAATTTTAAGGTCATATATCTAGCCTTGTAATTATATAAATGAATAAAAAAATGTACGGGATATATAGTATGTGACCTGTGCGAGGCACGAAAACTATTTATTTGAGGAGTATAACATTTTAAAACGTGGAATATCTTTTCATTTGCCAGTGAGATAAGTATGTTGAACTATTCTTATCATCTTTTATAAATAAATATAATTATAAATTATTCCTTGCATAATACTATGAGATGTGTTAGTTATATTAGTTGTAAATTTGTTTTTATTTGTGAAAGAGAGAGCGTGATTTATTTCCTTAATAATATGGAATTTTGGAAACAAAAAAATCTGAGATAAAAAAATACACGTCCAAATTAGAAAAAAGATAAGAAAAGATTTGTGATCAAATGCGTGATTTATTTCCTTAATAATATGAAATTTTAGAAACAAAAAAATCTGAAAAAAAAATATACGTCCAAATTGGAAAAAAGATAATAAAAGATTTGTGATCAAATCTTACTATACACGTTTTATTTCTTGATTTTATCAGATTTTTTTTTTTTACCAAACTACACGTAATTAATGCACTTGATAAGATTAGAAAGTCATTAATTAATGTTGATTATTCAACATACTGAATTTAGTAAATAGGTTTGCTTATAATATAAGTATAGATAATCTAGGTTCGGGTATTCCATAAATATTATTTAGCTAATTTAGGTATTTTAATATCACTTTTACTAATTTAAGAGCATCTCCAATGGTCAATGTTGTAGTGGTAAATTACATTCCACATCAACACATTTATTACTATCACAATTTTTCATCTTCCAATGTACAATGTAATTACAAATGTTGTGATGATGTGGACATAATTAATGTATACAATGTGGAGAAGAATGTGGTTCATCCACATTCTACTCCACACTCTTGTTAGCCAATGAGAATAAGAGAGAGAATTATTATTACCATTTTCAAACTATTTGATTATTTAATTAATTTTATTAATTCATATTAAAATTTTATTTTGGCAAGTAGATAATATTGTAATTAGACAACATTGTGCATTGGAGATAATTTTTTAATTTAATAATTGTGAACTCAACATTTGTCCTACATGGTTGACAATCTATTTAATTTTTTGACATTTGTCAACAAATTTAATATAACAACATTAGAGCATTGAAGATGCTACCCTTTAATTCTTTATAATTTTACATAGTGAGGCACTAGTGACTAATATATCCCTGAATTTTGATTTGTTTCTTTCAATAAGCTATTGAATTATAAATGTATTTTAAAAGTTGATAACTTTTGTATTTCTTATCGGTTTTACATATATAATATATCAAATTAATCATTTTTTGATGATCATCCATATTGTATATATGAAATAAATAAATTATATTTATCTTTATAATAATAAAAAATAATAATATTTATTGAAATTCATTAGAAAAATAAAATTATTTTTCAATTGATATAATTATATGTAATTAGTTATATATTGTAAGTTAAAAAAATTAGTATAATATAACACAAGTAAGTTGCACAAATAAAATGTATCATAATAAATATATAATAATATATATATTCTTATAAAAGGTATTTAACTTTTCAAACTATTTTTTCTCATTAATTTTAGAGTTTAAGAAAAAAATTAGCAAGCACCCGTGTAATACACGGGTGTTGTACTAGTAAATCAATATTTATTAACCTAACATTTGATGACTTTATGAATTATAATTAATAATTTTTTATTACCTTAAAATTTAATGTTTACTTATATTTTTTTTTTAATTTCAACATCATCATAATATCCAATCATTTTTATATTTTATTTAAATAGAGATATAAGTTTTAGAATTTTATACAAATTCATTGTATGTTTGTAATGAATATCTGCATATTTTATAATAATAAAATACAAATTATTATTTTATGGTAAAATAATCTAAATACTTTTTTTTTAGAAGAAAATATATATTTGCATTTGTATTTGTATTTTTTAATTTGGTTTTATAAATGAATTTATTTTTTTATATAGATAGATGAAATTAATTTAAGTTTGTATAAGTGATATAAATGTCAAATCGAAGATCGTCAAAAGATGATTAATTTTATAAATCATATATGAAAAATTGAATACAAATAAAAACATTATGAACTCTTAAAATATTGTAAAAAAATATTGAATTTAATGTGAGACAAAAAATAAATACATACTCGTCAAAATTGCAATAAATTTTTTATGACAAATACCAACCCTGATTCCAAAAAAATAATGTATATACAAACTAAATTACGAAGCAAAGAATGTTTCCAGGTCAGCATCCAAAATGTGCAAGTTTGTCAGCTATGCTCTAAACTTTTCGAATTAATATATGGAAGGATTGTGATGTGTTATCTCACATAAAGGGTGGAGGTGTGGTATAAGATAGAAAACTGGGCTAGAAGTCCTGTCAAGAGCTTAAACTTGATGAACCAAACAAATAATAAGTATTAAAATAATACCGAATAATTTTTTTTTTTGATCGTTAAATAAATTTGTATTGATCAAAATTGAAAGTCATACAATCGAGACGGCTATCAAAAGCGTAGTGGGTAGACACATGTCGGCTCCTCACTCGCAAGAACCAAAATAAACGAGGACAACCACAAGCCGGGTGCTCACTCGAAGAAGGGAAACAATTAATTTCCTCTCTTCAATATCATCCAAGTGCTCATACACTTTGCAACAACCAACTCAAAATTTTTCAAAATTCAAGGCCAAGACATCTCCTTTCGAATTCGGCAAGAACACTCGAGGCCAAGACATCTCCTTTCAAAATTTTTCATAATACCGAATAACTTGATATCACACGCCATATCTCCATACAAACAAACGAACGAAGTGGTACACATACGCAGTAACGTGAAATTTTTTATTCAATTAATTTGTAATTAATTTGTAATGGCAATTTCTACTAACTTATTCTCAAATTAAAATCATATAAAAATCTTTGTATCTACCCATCCAACAAATTTTTAAAGAGTAACGCATAAACTATTTGTCAAAGTTTAAAATTCCTTGCATTTCCTTCTCTTCCATTAAAATTCCTCTCTCCCTTCCATTGAACCAGACATACTAGTAAATATGCCTTATTCTATTTTTATTTTTCGTCTACTTCCGATTTTCCAATCATCCAGTGCGATGATATCCTAATTCATTTGGTGTTTGACCCACAGAAAAATGCACCACACCCAATCCCCACCCCGAACATTAGCCAGAATTCTCCGTAAATGTACATCCCGCTACAACACTTACCCCGCTTCTCACCTATCCATCTTATCTGCAAACAAGAAAAAAACCCAACGAGCATAGCCTGCTGGCTGCTGGTAGCACAATTGTCCTTGCTAAGCTTGAATGCTCTATGTAGGGGGATCAAATTCCAGAGGGAGAGAACCCTCGATACCTTTTACCTCATTTGGATGAAATAAGACAAATTGGGAATCACCTCTGTGGCGTTAGACCTTATGGGGCGCTAGGATATAAAAAGAGCGGTATAGCTGACAACAGAGCACATCTCGCGGTTTACCTACAGGGTAGGCCTGTAAACGAGCCGAGCTCGAGCCCTTAACGAGCCGAGTCGAGCTCGACTCGTTAAATAAACAAGCCATAAATCAAGCTCGAGCGGATATCGAACTCTAACGAGGCGAGTTATAAAATATATGTAAAAATACTTTTTTTGAGCCTTATTGAGCTGAGCAGAGCCGAACTCGGCTCATTAACTAAACAAGTTTTACTTGAACTTGAGCTCATCTCATGAAGATTTCAAACTCGAGCCTTAAAGAGTCGAGCCGAGCCGAGCCGAGCCAAACTCATTTCATTTAAAGCACACTCCTAAGGGCCAACTATAATGGTCCAAGACTAATAGACGTAATTCGTAAACATGAAAGCCAGTATTAAAAAAAAGCCCGAGATACTAATAATTAAAAAAAAAAAAAGAAAAATAAAGAAGCACAACGATTTTACCTTCTTAAATCAGTGAGGGTGCTAGAGCTACAAGAAAGAGTCGACTTCACTCATACTCCAAAAGAATCCTACCTTCAAGCTGCCGTTCGCCGTCGCCAGCCGCCACCATGATGAGGGACGTGTCGGCGTGCAACACCTACAACTACGCGGACGCCTTCTATTGGGACTCCCGCTACGAGCAAGAAGCGAATTTCGATTGGTACCAGCGTTATTCGGCTCTCCGCCCATTTATTCGGAAGCATATTTCTCCGACTTCGCGCGTCCTCATGGTTGGCTGTGGAAATGCCGGTAAATCTCCTGCTGTAGGTTTTTTTGCCTTTTTTTGAAGTTGGGATTCATATAGGTTGAGAAAAATATGCGTTTCTGTTCGGTTTTCTTGATGTTAATTTTCAGTGCTTTTGTCATGTATTTGTGTTTATTGCCGTGGGAAATATGGAAGTGAGCTGATTGAACATGACTTGTGCTTAGTTGATCCGCTAAGGTTGCTTTTTCCTTGAATGAACTCGTGTGGGATTTCGTTTTTATGAACTTGTTTCTGTGCTGCATTACTTTGCTTTAATGGGGATTCGGGGGACGAGTTATCACATGGGTAGTTTGAAACAATTGATGCTGTGCAATCGAGAGATTTCGTGTTTTCTTTTCCATCATTTATCGATGATTTGCCTCATCTGGGATTAGGTTTCCATGTTTTTTTTACTCTTGAAACAGCTTGTTTTGGTTACTAATGTTTTTATGTTCTGTTTTTCCCCTTCTTATGGCACTTTCATTTTCTGTTAGTATTTGTTTTGTATTTGGCTGTGATTTTGATTGCTCTATCTTGGTAATAATATTTGTGATGCCTACATTGCATTATGCGTGGCACGCCTTCAACATGGTGGGTGACTCTTGTCAATGATATAGGTTCTCGATTATTTTATGAATCTTCTTGTTGTCTGCACATATCGTCAATGTAAAGTACGTTTGCGTTGTATAACTTTGTTAAGATGGTGTTATGTAACTTGCTTGATAGCTATCTCGGATGACATGGTTAAAGACGGGTTTGAAGATATAATGAACATTGACATATCCTCTGTGGCGATTGAGATGATGGGAAAGAAACATGAGCACGTACCTCAATTGAAGTGTATCCTTGCGGAAATGACTATTTATGTTGTAGAATTTTCGATGGCTCACCTTGTGCTGTTTCTGTCAGGCAACATCGAGTGCGCTCTTTTATTGATTTAAACGTGTCTTTTCATTTCATTTTATTTTTGTATTAGAATGCTTAATCCTCGACATCCTTACAAGGTTATCCAGATATGCAAATGGATGTTAAGGACATGAGTTTTTTCTCAGATGATTCATTTGATAGCATCATTGATAAAGGTAAGTTGGTTTCCTTTTCATTTATTTTTTATTTGATTACGTTTTCTTTAACTTGTAATTGTTGTTTATGTGTTGCAACTATTGGAAAATATTTGCCTTGTATATCTGCATGACATGCTGATCTGCATAATAGGGACTCTTGACGCGGTGATGGTGAGCAATATATTATATTTATATTTCTTTCTCCATTTATCTTTGCTTTATTCTATTGTGTAACTTCTTTTTCTCTTCTCTATTTGTTTCTGTGACTGTATAGTGTGGTACCGATGCTCCAATCAGTGCTTCTCAAATGTTGGGGGAAGTAAGCAGGTTATAGGATTTATTGTCACTATATATATTTGTGGTTTTCGTTGTAGTTTTTAGATTAATTTTTTTCCTTTTCTTTTCATGCCTAGTCTTTTAGTAAATTATTATTTTTTTTTTTTGTTTCTTTTTTGCCATTTGCCACTTGTAGGCTTCTTAAACCTGGAGGAGTTTATATGTTGGTAAATATTTTCTTTAGTTTGTTGTGTTTTCTGCATCAGATTGCCGTCCAAAATTGATTTTCCTGCTTTCACTGTTTGCAGATAACATATGGTGATCCTATTGTGAGGATGCCCCATATAAATCGAAATGTTTACAACTGGAAAATTGAACTGTACATCATGCGTAAGTGATTTCTGCTCTGATAGTTCTACACACGATTCAAATTTCTGACATCGGTCATTAGTGTTCTTTTTTTTTTTTTTTTTT